AAAATTAGCTGGGCTTGGTGGCAGGCGCTTGTAGTCTCAGCTACTCAGGAGGCTGAGGCTGGAGAATCACTTGAACCCAGAAGGCGGAGGTTGCAGTGAGCCAAGATCGTACCACTGCGCTGCAGCCAGGCAACATAGCAAGACTCTGTCTCAAAAAAAAAAATAAAAAAGTCTTTCTTTAATCCCTACCCCTCTCTGCTCTACCTGACAAGCCCCTGCTCACACTTTTAGTGATTTACAAATTTTGTCATCTTTTGTGATGCCTTCCCTAAACTCTAGTCAAAATCAGTTACCCACTATACTATATTCTCCTACAACGCTTTATCTTCAATTCTTACAGCTTCTAAATCTAACCCAATTATAAATAACAGTATCTGTTCGTCTTCTTAGCTCCAGACCTATGAGATCAGAAACTATATTTATATTTCTAAGGCCTGACAAATTGGCCTTAGAAATACAAAAAGCGGTTTCTGATCTCATAGAATTAATAGAATTTTATGAAATAGGATTTTATAAAATAGAATTGTATTCTATTTTATTCTCATGGAATAAAATAGTTGACTTTTTTAAGGAAAGAAAAACAGGCCAGGCACAGTGGCTCACGCCTATAATCCCAGCACTTTAGAAGGCTGAGGCAGGAGGATCACTTGAACCCGGGAGTTCAAGACCAGCCTGGGCAACATAGTGAGGCCCTATCTCTACAAAAAATAAAATAGACTGGGCATGGCAGGTCACACCTGTTATCCCAACATTTTGGGAGGCTGAGGCAGGTGGATCACTTGAGCCCAGGAGTTTGAGATCAGCTTGGGCAACATGGCAAAACCCCATCTCTACAAAAATTAGCTGGGTGTGGTGGTGTGTGCCTTTAGTCCCAGCTACTCTGGAGGCTAAGGTGGGGGGATTCCTTGAGCCTGGGAGATTGAGGCTGCAGTGGCCCTGATTGCACCACTGCACTCCAGCCTAGGGTAACAGAGTAAGACCCTGTTTTAAAAAGTAAAATAGTCTGGGTGCAGTGGCTCATGCCTGTAATCCCAGTACTTTGGGAGGCGGATCTCTTGAGGTCAGGAGTTCGAGACCAACCTGACCAACACAGTGAAACCCCATCTCTACTAAAAATACAGAAATTAGCTGGGCAGCTGGGAGCAGTAGCTCACGCTTTTAATCCCAGCACTTTGGGAGGCTGAGGCAGGTGGATCACAAGGTCAGGAGTTCAAGACCAGCCTGGCCAACACCATAAAACCACCGCACTCCAGCCTGGGAGACAGAGCTAGACTTTGTCTCAAAAAAAAGGTAAAAAAAAGAATTAGTTGGGCATGGTGGCAGCTGCCTATAATCCCAGCTACTCGGGCCGCTGAGGCAGGAGAATCACATGAACCCGGGAGGCGGAGGTTGCAGTGAGCCGAGATTGCATCATTGCACTCCATCCTAGGCAACAAGAGTGAGACTTCGTCTCAAAACAAAAAAAAAAGTAAAATAAAAATCAGTGTATCTTTTATGTCTAAAAAAAAAATCAAAATGATAATTTTAGGTCTTGTATTTTCACCATCTTGCTAGAATTTTTATTTGGTAGCCTGTATCCAAAGGTTCCGTAATATTTGGATGCTATTTCCTAACAATTTTCTTTTTCAAGACAGGGTTTCGCTCTGTCCCCCAGGCTGGAGTTCAGTGGCACAATCAGGGCTCACTGAAGCCTCAACCTCCCTGGCTTCAAGCACTTCTCCCATCTTAGCCTCCAGAGTAACTGGGACTACAGGCTCATGCCACCACGTCCTGCTAGTTTTTTTTGTATTTTGTAGAGACAGGGTTTTGCCATGTTACCCAAGCTAGCCTCGAACTCCTGAACTCAAGTAGTCCACCCACACCAGCCTCCCAAAGTGCTGGGACTACATGCATAAGTCACCACAACCAGCCCCTATTCCCAAACAATTCATTAATTAAAGCGTCTAAAAATATTCATCCTTAAGCTTACCTGCCTCATTTAGTGCTTTGAGAAAATAAGACTTCTCATTCCTTCAAGGTAGGAACCCCATTATTGAGGGCCACCCCATTTCTCTCTATCTCTTTTAGATTATTTCAAGAAGTCTTTTTATCAGTCTTTTTATCCTAGGATTTGGTCTTAAAGAGAATCTGTGGAACAGTGAATAATAGCCCTGTTATGGTGTGCTATGAGATTACATCTGTAATTTTTTTTTTTTTTTTTTTTTTTAAATAGGGCCTTGTTCTTTCACCCGTGCTGGAATCCAACAGGTCAATCACAGCCCTTAACCTTCTGGCTCAAACAATCCTCCCATCTCAGTTCCCCAAGTAACTGGAACCATAGGCATGTGCCACATGCCCGACTAATTTTTTCCACTATGTTTCCCAGGCTGATCTTGACCTCTTGAGCTCAAGCAATCCTCTGCCTCAGCCTTCCAAAGTGCTGGTATTATGAGCATGAACCACTGTGCCTGGCATTTATCTGTAATTCTTAATTCTTAAACTTCACCTATTGTATTTCGGCAATGAAGTCATGAAGTGATTCTGGCTTGGAGATGTCTCAAGTCTAATGCAGAAAATTGTTGAATTCCCAAATGTCACCTTTTTTGTAGCATTGTAAATTGAAATATTTGCTAATACGGAGAGCCATGCTTACTACAGTCATGTGCTGCAAAACATTTCAGTCAGTGATGGACCACACATACCACATACTTTATTTTTGCTGTATCTTTTCTGTGTTTAGATATACAAATAATTACCATTGTGTTATATTTGCCAACAGTATTCAGTATAGTAACATGCTCCACAGGTTTGTAGCCTAGAAGCAATAAGCTATACCATCTAGCCTAGGTTTAGTAGGCTATGCGATGATGTTTGCACAACGAAATTGCCTAATATTGCATTTCTCAGAATATATCCCTGTCATTAAGCAATGCACGACTATATTTTAAAGATGACGTGTTTTGGAGTAAATAATTCCCCAAATTTTTACCTAAAAAAAATGACAGTCTCCTTTATGTTGCACAAGATTAGTATTAATTTTTTATGTGTGACTCTGTTGCCAACTTTTTACTCTGTTCTTGCCTTTCCCTGCCAAACTTGTTAAAGAGAAAAATAAAAACAGTAGAAAGAAACTTCAGGATCATCAAGGCCATTTCTAAAATCAAGAAAGTCATGCTAATAAATTTTAAGAGAACTCTTCTGATAATTCAGTCATGCTTCCCTTAAAGGCAGGGATACATTCTAAGAAATGCAACATTAGGTGATTTTGTTGTGCAAACTTCGTAGAGTATACTTAGCAAACCTAGATAGCATAGCCTCCTACATACCTAGGCTGTGTAATGTAGCCTATTGCTCTTGGGCTGCAAACCTGTTCAGCATGTTTTTGTACTGAATACTGTAGACGACTATAATGGTAAGTATTTGTGTATCTAAACATAAGAGAGGTACAGTAAATTATAATGTTTTTTTGGTATAGAACAGTTAGAACATACAGTATTATAATCTTTTTTTTTTTTTTTTTTTTGGAGCTGAACGAAGTGTCCCTGTGTTGCCCAGGCTAGAGTGCAATGGCACAATCTCTGCTCACTGCAGCCTCTGCCTCCCATGTCCAAACGATTCTCCTGCCTCAGCCTCCTGAGTAGGTAGGACTATAGGCACATGCCACCACACCTAGCTAATTTTTTGTATTTTTAGTAGACACAGAGTTTTGTCATGCTGGCCAGGCTGGTCTTGAACTCCTGGCCTTAAGTGATCTGCCCGCTCTGGCCTCCCAAAGTGCTGGGATTACAGGTGTGAGCCACCATGCCCAGCCAGTATTACAATCTTAAGTGACTACCATTGTATATGTGGTTCACTGTTGACCAAAATGTTGTTATGTGGCATATGCCTGTATTAGATTTGGGATGTAGGTGAAAGACTTATCTTTTTATTTTTTAAAGGACAGGGTCTCGCCTCAGTTACCTATGCTGGAATGTAGTGACGCGAACATAGCTCACTGCAGCCTTGAACTCCTGCACTTAAGCAATCCTCTTGCCTCAGCCACCCAAGTAGCTGGGACTGCAGGCAAGCACCACCGTGCCTGGCTAATTTTTTAATTTTCATTTTTAGAGTCAGGGTCTCGCTACATTGCCCTGGCTAGTCTTGAACTCCTGGCCTCAAGTAATACTCACATTTCAGCCTCCCGAGTAACTGGGATTACAAACATGAGCCACCAAGCCAGGTTTTATCTTTAGATTAATATTAATTTAGCATGTTATAGTTGTAAAAACACAGAACTAAAAGTAAGGAGTTTTATACTCATTGCTGCAACTAACAGCTTTGTGACCTTGGGCAAATCTCTTTACTTCTCTGGCCCTTTGTCTACATAAGGAAAATTGAGACCAGATAATTCTACATATCTTTTGTTTCTAGAATTCAAGCATTTTAACATAATATTGTATCTGTTTTGCTGTTTGTCTTTTGGTTGCCAGGGAGAAGTTACACACTGGTTGGCATGTTCATTATATGTTGCATGCCGCAAAAGCATTATTCCCACGGTTGGAAAGGGTATCATGGAAGGCAACTGTGTTTCACTCACAAGAATACTACGTTCAGCTAAATTGAGGTAAACCACTTTGATGTTTTCAAATGTTGTTATGTAAGCTCTAAATTTTAGAATCAGTTTTCTCTTATTTTGAAATCATTTGACTTCATTTAATTCTTTTTTTTTTTTCCTGAGATGGAGTTTCGCCCTTTTTGCCCAGGCTGGAGTACAATAGCACCATCTCAGCTCACTGCAACCTCCACCTCCCGGGTTCAAGCCATTCTTCTGCCTCAGCCTCCCAAGTAGGTGGGATTACAGGCGCCTATCACCATGCCTGGCTAATTTTTATATTTTTAGTAGAAATGGGATTTCACTGTGTTGGCCAGGCTAGTCTTGAACTCCTGACCTCAGGTGATCTGCCTGCCTCAGCCTCTCAAAGTGCTGGGATTACAGGCATGAGCCTGTAAAAAGGCGCCTGGCTTTTTTTCTTTTTTGAGATGTAGCCTCACTGTATCACCCAGGCTGGAGTGTAGTAATGCAATCTTGGATTACTGCAACCTCTCCCTCCTGGGTTCAAGTGATTCTTGTGCCTCAGCCTCCCTAGTAGCTGGGATTACAGGTGTGCATCACCACGCCCAGCTAATTTTTTGTATTTTTTTAAGTAGAGATGGGATTTTACCATGTTCATCAGGCTGGACTCAAACTCCTGACCTCAAATGATCTGCCCGCCTGGGCCTCCCAAAGTGCTAGGATTATAGATGTGAGCCACTGCATGCCATCATTTAATTCTTAATTTGTTATAACATAGATAATCCTTTCCCAATTTTCATATCCTTTCTCTGCCATTCTTTCCTAAATTCTGCTAGAAACCTCTGTGTTAAATCTTTTTTTTTTTTTTTTCTGAGACAGGGTCTCACTTTGTTACCCAGGCTGGAGTGCAGT